CAAAGCTTCATGTATTAATTTAACCCACTTTCACATTTTGAATATTATGGCGTAGTAATATTTAATGTCGTGAATGTTACTTTTTTTATTGTTTTTGTTATTCCTATTATTATTTGTCACTCGAAAATTTATTCAGTCAAATTAAAATTTATAATCAAACAAAAACGTAATACATGATGTTGTGATTCTAATAAAAACTGCGGTAAATCAATAGATACAATCCATTATATTTCATATTTTGGACACATCCCGAGCTTGATGGCGACGCTAAATGGGACGGTGACATAATAGTCATAAAAAAACATTAGCGAAATCAGTAGTGGTTTTAAATGTTGCTCGCATGATATTTTCGTTTGTGAATTATAGTCGAGTCAAAATGGAAATATACTAACACTCTCAGGCGAGGTTTATTGTTAAAATATCTAGCACGGAATGGGTTATTACAGCATTTATTTACCTAAAATATTTGCTCGATAATCTTGAACATAATACTGCAATAAACGTTTACTTGCAAAACGACTGGATTATTTTCTAAATCTGTAACATTGAGTCCAGTACAAATCAATAATTTATGCAAACAAAAAATGTGTTTCATTTAAAATAAACACAAATAATTTTTTGTTTAGTTGATACAATCGATTTTGTTCAGGTATATACATATATGTATACCAGGTATATTAGGTGATTCTCTTATTATTTATCATATAATTGAAATATAAATTTAATATTAAAACATTTTTTTTTGTTTCTTTATATTGCTTGTTTTTTTTTTATTTATCATAAGATATTTTTTATGTTTAACTATTACTTTATTTATGTATTTAAAAGTTAATACTTGCATTAATTTATTGAGTTTTGTTTCACATAATGTTCATGTGGTTAAGGTACTAAGATGAAACAATTGCTTTAAATGGGTTTTTTTTCATGTTAACAACTGAATCTCAGTCGAATTATTTTTAAATTGTACGGCGTTTTGTATATGCAAAATTGCTATTTGTGTGTATTGCGGTCATCAAGTTTAACATTCTTGGTGATAATACCAACAATTTTATGGTTTTCATAATATTTAAGGGTTTATAAAATTGTTAAACATAGTTCAGTACCATTTGGTGTTAAGTTTATTCATAACTTTTATGTTTGTGTTTATTTTTAAATTATTTAAATATTTATTGCTACACTTTTTATTCCACATGCAATTGGATCATAATTAATATCAAAGAAGGTTATGGATGATTTCTTTATTATTATGTTTTAACAATAGAAAACTTTTTTTTCAAAAGTTTTTTCCTGCGTGACATATAGTTTCAAAATTATTAAGAATTTAAAAGTGGTTCCAAAACAAAACCTAATTTGCTCTCGAATTCTCGTCAACACAACGTTAGCAATAAAAATAACGGAAAAACATTTTACGCTCTCTTACCCTCCAGAATCTTCAAACGCACACTTATATATACTACGTACACGAAATTCTGACCTACTTTAAATGAGTTCGTTATATCTCTAAGTACTTCACATTCCCTTGTATTTATATTTATGTTGTCAAAAGTATGTTTCTTATATGTGTGCAGTGTTGAAACTTTACCTAGACAACGTGTGATTAGCCTATTAGTTTTATATTTATTTCGATTGAGTTAATTATTTTTTGATCTATATTTTGAGTTGTATATATAGATATATACATTGTTATTAATAATTGTTATCATAAAATACGATCGTCCTAGACGTCAAAAGTATCTAAGTTTATGTGTTCGATAAAACTTTCGGAGAAATCGGCCACCGACTATATAAAATAAATTTTCGAGGTCAAATGGTTGACGAAAATCAATAGCGCCGCCGTTGGAAAACTGCAAAAGCACTATGGCCAAAACCTGTGGAGTTAATTTTTCCAAGTCGAACAATGCAAAATTCCACTCAGCTGCGAATCGCCCCATTTTCTCTCATTTCACGTTTTCGTCTTTGACTTTACTTTCTTATTTCATTTCTCTTACAATTCACTTCTTTGTAAAGTTTCAATAACCTTCGTTCTTTAAGTGTTATTTCCTATGGTATTAACACTCAGTTAACAAAAACCGAATGATAACTAGAATACGTCGCAGCTAGTGAACACTTTTACTCAAATGATGTTTTACTGTATTCTTCAGTCATTTGTTTTTAGTTCTTGCGTAAACAAACATTTTTATTATCTACAAGATTTTTGTTTTGACATGTTCTAGATAAACATAAGTTTATTTATAGTAATAAAGCGCTAAAACAGATAAAACTTTATTGGAAATTTTAATTAAAAAATATCCTTATTTAAAATATTAAATATGAATTGGCTTATAATCGTTTGTGTATTGATTTAGGTTGGTCTATTTTGATCAAATAGATATCTCGGCTATCAGTGTATACATTGTAAATTTATTAAAAACTCATAATAATTTTGATCAGAATTTATAAAAAGTTAAACATTTAGAACTTCTCAAAGTGTTATTGTTTAAAAAAATTATGTTGTATTGCAATAAAGGCTAATTTTTTCCAGAAGATTTAAGTTATATAACATGATGAAATTACTATTTAATTCAATAAATTTTATTTTTTTAAATATATTATTTATTCTACTGACCCTTGGCTAACGTTTAAATTGCTGGATTTTAACTAAATTTTTAAAAAATATCAATATTATGAATTATTTTATCATAACAATATTATCTTTAGAAGTTTAGAAAAATAAAAGCTTAAATTTAAAGTTATTATTTTTTAAATTTTATATTATATAAAAAATTTCGATATTTTTTGTTAGTATTAAAACTAAACAAAGTTATTTATGGTCACAATAAGGGCATCAGCATATCACTACTTTATAATTAAACATCTTAAAAATACTTACTTACATTGTAAGTAATTTTGTTCTTTAAATTAAGTTTGCAAAAAAAAAAAAAAAAGTTGCTCTACTTTATATTTTCAAAACTTTTGTTTAAAAAAAAAACATTATAATTGTGTTAGTACTTCTTAATTGAAATATTGTGATAGTGTTCAGTAAATGTTACTATATATATAAAAGAATTGATGTGATGAAATTTGAAACGAATAAAATAATTTTTTTTAGTACTTTTGTAGATCCTAAATATAATTAGAAGCAAATAAAAATTATATAGTAACTTTTTTTACGTCAAAAAAATGTGTTATGAAATAGAATGAAAAAAATCTGAGAAATATAAATTTTAGGGTGCAGATTTGAAAATGTTTGAAAAAGTACTTATCCATCCAAATTGTTATTTTGTAATAAATCGTAATTTATTTTTAATTGTTTACAGAACTATTTAATAAAATAGATAAAGGAAATATTGGTTGATTTGAAAATATTGTGATTTAAGTTTAATGTTTTATTTTTGATTTTCGCAGATAATGATCTGAATGAATATGATTTTTTATTAAAAATTTTCTATTGTTCTTACTCTCATGTAAACTTAAGTAATAAATCATAAAAATTAGAATATATTTTGTTTTTTTCTGGTAGATAGGTTTAATATTCCATCTGCCATTATAGTACATATTTCAGGATTGGATCGTGAAGGGTCGTGGCTTTAATAACGCCCCGTGGCCTATATAGAATTTTACTAATGTAGTCATGATTAGTGACAGTTTTTTTTTTTTTTTATAATCACTTTTTATGAAAGTAATAATTACTTTATGGGGGCCCTTATAGATCTTAATTGGGCCCTTTGTATATCTTTTTGTAATTCTCCATGTAGATTAGACAGCTAATTATTTTGAAAATCATACAACAAATAAAAATAATTTTTTGATAAACGCATCATTAATAACTACTATACATATTATACAAAAATCAGGCTGTACACTTATTATTAAGTCATTGAATATTTTTGTTGTTTTTTATTTTTATTTAGTTGTAACAAAAACAATGATATAATGGCAATTAATAATAAATTCGTATTAAATATCGTAAGCAAATAACCGTAAAGAAGTTTTATAAATTTTAATATCAAAATCATATCTTTAAAAAATGTTGATATACTTGATATTGCTGTTTGGTCGACGATTCGAAGAAATTGTTAAATAAAATAATAATTCTAAATTGTTTTCATTTTTTTTTTTTTTTAACCTGAAGTTATAAACTTTAAAGTATAAAAAATTAAGTTTCATAGTTGTGTGAGCGTTAATCAAATAAAAAATAAACAATATTAATATGTATTATGAATTCAAAACAATTACAATCGAATAATTTTAGCAATATTCTTGAAGTTAACAATATAATGATTTATTTTAATTAATTTTAGTCGACATTATTGTTCTTTTTTGAGGATATGAATAAATATTTATGTAGAACTTTGTTAAGTATATTTTTTAATACTTCTGTCTGGCAGAAAAACAACTATGATATTAGAAATCATTGTTGATCAAAAGTACCATGTATATTTTATTACGCAAAATAGGAGTGTATAATTTATTATGATGTACATGCATTTTATTATTTGTGCGTTTTGATAAGCTTTCAGAATATGAGTGTAGATACTCGAAAATCTAGAAATACAATTATTGTACATTTACTCTTACATGTTACTCTATTGCATGAGAAACCTAATATTGATAACGCACGTGCAACAGTAAAATTTTAATGCTTACCAACAGTGGCATTTAATACCTTAGAAAGGTAGAAATTATAAAGCTCAAAGTAATGAAAAGCGTTACAGTATGTAGGTATATTATGTATTTTGTTCCAAAATAATTGCTTCATAGCTTTATACTGTAACAATTCTTTGGAATTAATGCATAAGGGAGTAATAATCTTCTATACTCTTTACTATTTGAAGTTTGCTGGATTTGTATGTAAAAAGTATGTTTATAAATACTTCTTTATTAGATTGGATTAATAAATAATAAGTGTATGAATCATGATTGAATGAATTATATATATTTTATTTATTTTCTATATTTATTGTTAGAATAATTAAAGAATGAATATACATTTATTTTTCCTTAATTTACACGCTATTTAGTATCGGAAGGCCTGGAGTAGATGCTCAGGTTAGACATGAATTGGAGGCAGCCGTTGTTCAGGTGGAATTTTTAATGAATGAAGGTGCCTTGATTACCGTAACAGCAGATGATAGTTTACACCTATGGAATTTTAGACAAAAAAGAGCTGATGTTGTACATAGTCTAAAGTTTCAAAGAGAAAGGTAAGCATTTTCTGTAAAATTTATTTGATATAATTATTTATTTATTAAAATATTACCAGTATTCTCATTTACTTATTTGGCGCCTAAGCAAATTTCTTCAATTTGTGGTTTCGAAGTATGAGTGATATCATTTTATATTATTTAATCATCATAATTAATTTTGTTGGCATTTTTACAAAAATAACGTAAAAGAAGTAAAGGATGGTTACAAGTAATGTTATTTGTAACTATTATAAAAACAATTCAACAACTGTTACATTATAGCTTAAACTATGTACAATATAACAGTTATTCTATTAACTAAAGTTTTAAATTTAATTCAGTTTTATTTAATCGACTAGTTTTATTCGTTTGGAATATATTTTAATAAGATAAAAAAATAAATTCAAAAAAATAGTAAAAGATTTAACTTCTAATATAACTTCATAAACTTCAAAGAGATCAGTGAAAATAAGCGAGGATGTGATAGTAAAAGTGGAAAGTCTTAAGTATTTAGGATCAGTTGTGCAATAGAACGGTGGTACAGACAAGGACTTGAAACACAGGATTTAGTGCGAGTGGGTGAAGTAGAGAAAACTGTCTGGTATGTTAAGCGATAAAATAATTCCAATAAGGCTGAAAGGTATATTCTATTAGACTGTAGTGAGACCAGCTATGACTTATGTCAAGAGAATGAGTGTAGATAAGATGAGAATGCTTGGGTGGATGAGTGGAGTAACTAGAGAAGGTAGGATAAAGTACAAACTAAAAAGAGGAAATCTAAGATGTAGCGTGAATCGTCGATAAGATAAGAGAAAATAGACTTAGATGGTTTGGTCATGTTACGAGGCGAGTGGAATCAAAAGCTGTATGAACAGTTATAAAAATTAATTTTGAGGGAAGTAGAGGTAGAGGAAACCAAAAAAAAAAAAGAGGAGGGATATTATTAAAGATTACGATATGAGGACGGCTGATGTGTGCGTAAATAATTTAGGAAATCGTGTCAAGTGGAAGTTTAGGATAAGGGTTGTCCACGTCAAGTAGTTGGGATTAAGGCGAAGAAAAAGAAGAAGAAAATTGCGAATACGGGAAAGGCGATCTACCGGTTTTTACAAATACTAGTAATTATAAGTAATGTCAAATTTTAATATAGTTATTTTTTTAGAATATCAAAAATACTGCTAGTTCTAATTTATCTTATAATAATGTATTTATTGTAATGAATCTATTTTTTATGTTCAATACAGGATCACAGTTGTGCATCTACCTCTTCGGAGCAAGTGGTTATACGTGGGATCAGAAAGGGGAAACGTGCATTTCGTCAATGTGGAATTGTTTACCCTCTCTGGTTACATAATAAATTGGAACAAAGCCATTGAAGTGTAAGTAGTACTATATGTTTAATAGTAGTGACGCGAAGCTTTATTGATGTCCATCTAATATGTGTTTATGTATTTTTTATATCGTTGTGGTGTTTCTTTTTGTTACATCACTTCGACCACACTTTTTGAATTACCATAATATTATTATCGCTCAGCTGAATAATTAAAAACTCAACAGTTTTGCTAACTGTTATAGTTAGCCATTTTAAATTGATTACATGACTCGTGATGAACGGCGTGATCCTTATAACTATATAGTGTTTAAAATTAAAATTTATGGTATAGATATTATGTATACTTATATAGATAACTTAATTTTGTTAACGCTTTTGATAGAAATAATAGAGTAGATTATTTCAGTTACATCATGTGTTACGAATTTAACTCTGTTTTATGTTAAGCCAAATTATTATCATTGTATCCAAAACTTAAATGTTTTGTTCTATCCACACTGACAAAGTTTGAAATATATAGAATGTAAAAGCTCTTTCATGATTTGACATATCTGAAAACTTTAAGAAATTTTATCTTGAAAGTTTACAGACTGTATGTTTAATCCATTAATATTGTGAGTTTACATATTAAACTTGATTTATGCGTAATTATAAATAATACTTTAGGCCTATATGGATGAGACACCGTATTTTGCTTGGAAATCTTTTAAATTTTGTTGAGTGTCCGATACTTAACAATATTTTTTTTATTTAAATCTTCAATGATCGATTAGTAATTTTATTTTGTAATAAAATATCTTATATTTTTATTTTTAACATGGGTATGATTGTGAGGATTGTAGTTTCTACTAATTTTTTATGAAATTTCAAAATTATTGATGTAATAATGAAAATGGTTGTGAAGTTTTATGTTGTATTGTCTAATTTTGACGGTTAACTTATCTTTTATTAACTACAGTATTAAGATACTGCATTTATAAGAGATTCTTGTAAATTCCTATTTGTAAACAAATTATCAGCCCTCATCCTAAAGAAAATTTTTGTATCTACGACACTGCTTTAAAAGCTAATATAAAAAACATTAAAAATTATACTTAATTTAATCGATTTTTTGAAAGTGTTAATATTTTTTATTATTAATATAACTAGCGTTTTTTTAAATTTAATATTTATTTTTTATCGTCAAATATAGTTATATTATTGCATAAGGTCATCAATAAATACGCAGCAATTGATTCAGATAAAATATAATAGACATTTCGTTATAACAACATTATGGAAGTTTTTTTTTTAAGATTGACAATATTCTTTATATGTACCACTTAGTTATCTCTTTGTGTACCTGCCAGTTTATACTGCGAGTGGCATGACATGACAGTTGGCTTAAAGTACACAAAATTTGGATAAGTAAATACTCATAAATACGCATAAAGTTTGTTATATTAAAGCCATTTACGGAATTTACCATCTAGAGGCATCAGTATTTCAGGAAACATTTAACCAATCTCTACCGTATTGAATAAAAAATTCATGAACTCTAATATCTTTTTTAATTTCATAATCAAGCTCTTAAATATTTTACTTTCAATAATTACACTTTTAAAACCTAGAAATTGATGATAATTCATAAATAAATAATAGTTATAATAATTGAAATAAGTATTTATTAGCGAAGAAGTTAATAAATGGATATTGCAAATATGCTAAAGAATACTTATCAATTATTAATTACAAACGAAAATACTTAAATTATTGTAACTATAGCATCTTTATTATAAAAAATGTTTCATTTTTATTGTATCTTTTTGTGTTTATTAAATTCCTTATCTACTTTAAACACTTTTAAATCTCTGATATAAGATTGCGTAGGCAAAAATTCGACAACGCATTAAGTTGTTAATTCATTTTATCATGTAGCGAAACAACTATTAGCACACCATGAAACAATATTATGCTAATCAATCTTCATTACTGCCGTCCATTAATTAATGCTGTTCCTTTGCACCTAGGAGTTAATAATAATGATAGTGTAAAATAAGTATTTCGTTGTAGTAAATAATTACACATACAGTTTTCTTAACTTTTTCTTAATCCAAATCAAATTTTTTACTTTTTAAATTAGAATATGATAAATTGTGTGCAAGATTGACGAAGACGAATTAAATGCGGTAATTTATAAAATATATTATGTTAAATTTAAAGTAAAAAAATGGTCGAAAATTTTACACTGTAAGTTATCATCATTTTATATATTAGATGGTAATAAACACAGGACCGAATATACCTAGTTGAGTAATTATGCATAGTTATTATGGAGTATCATCTTGAAATTTTTCTCATGAGTTTTGTTATTTACACTTGGAATTATACGTATTCTAGTAGTCTGGTTTTTAGACACGGATTATAGAAATGTTCCTTTTTATTCTTTTAAAGTCTTCTCATAATTGTGACATCAACAAGGATTATACTGATACTTCTTTACGTTGGAAATCATTAGTAAAAGAGCGAAAAGTTTTCTATATAGTTATCATTTTTGTTATTTCTTTGTATTAAATCACACCACTTTTTTTTTTTTTATTTAACTTAGTCATAATATTTTTTTAGAAAAACTAGTAGTTGTCTATTTTCAAAAAATAAGTAGACGTTCAGTCTTTTGAATTCAGATAGAACCGATTAAAGAAGCAAGTATTCTTCTCCCAGAAAATAGGCGATACGTGTGATCTCGGGCTGAATATCATTTGAGAAATGTTATTTTGTCTCCTGTAAACTGACATGTAGTTGAACAACCATTTTTGTGTACTTTTTTCACTTTACGGGTATCTCAAGGAACTAAACCTTTTACTTCTAATTCACGTAGATTGATACCGTTATGTTTTTTCTATATTTTTATGAAACTTTAGGCTCAGTTTTCTTTTAATCTTTCAGCTATAGATTTTACTCTTGTCGTAATGACAGTGAAATATTTTGTTTTATTTTCAAATCAATTTGATTTTGTATCACTACTTCTATTTTTTATTATGGTTTATATTTTGACTTATTGATGTTATACTATAAATTATTTTTTCAATATGATTAATGATTTATTAGTTTATATTTATTAGATCAATATGAATTGAATCCAAGTTGAAAAATATACACATGGATGTTAAATCTCCTATTTTGTAGCATTCTGATATAAGATCTATTAATATCTATCTGATATTTGTGATCACTACTTCGTGTTAAGATAAACAAAAAAATAAACAACACATGTATGGTGCAGTCTTTAACATAATTAGTAAGCCGGGAGTAGTGTTTGGCAGGCGACAAATATATTTATATATAGTACATCAATACATAGCGTATTGATAGAATAATTATAATTATTATTATAATTATAATGATAAATTATTTAATTGAAGTTACATGTGCATAATAAGCCTTGCCTACAATCGGCTTAAATATCAATAAAATATTCTAAGTTAATCATTAATTAAATTGTAAATATATACGTGTAATAACTATTCTCGTTTGAAATTTGTAGAATTGAAAACTTGTAACTTAACATCTTCAGTTTTTCTCAAAATTTTTATAATAAATTTAAGTAATGACTTACATATACACATCTGCACTAATTTTGGTAGCTTTGGTCACGCAGCAACTTAGGTTGATGGATATTAAAATATCGTCGTTATGTTATATAAGTAAGGCGAGAAATCATTTTTCTCGAAAATAGAAAGTATAATAGAAAATAGAAGATATTCTACTGAAAGCTTAAACGTCATCATTTTTCCTCCCATAGTAAAAAGAAATTTGTCGAAGTAATGGTTGTTCTGAATTGAATCGTCTGAAATAGTGTATATTGCCTTGGTGTGTCATATACATGTCCCCAATAATTTTCATTGACGTGTTAACAATAGAGAGTGCATTTGACGTACAGTCCAGTCAATAAATAATATAATAATAATAATGAAAAGTGTGGTACCATAGGATACAATCATTTTATAGTTTTAGGTATTTAATAATGTTGGAATAGAAATAACTTCTTTATTTGATCATAGAGAAGAGACAACTTCAAGATACGAATTGTGATTATTTAATTAAATTACCAAAACAGTTATATAGTTACTTTTTAGAAAACCATTAAATATTTTTTTTTAAATATACAATTGGTTATACAAACTTAAATAATAAAAATGAAATAATTTTATAAGCATGATATAAATATTTTTGCTTTTTTTAAGAGAAATTTATGAGGTTTTTATAATTTACAGTTTTAATTGAATGTATAAATCAAATATAATTACAGTTGTAATTAATTTTAAATTTAACTTAAATCTTTGTTCCAAAATAGTTTTTTTTCAATATAATTATAAAACAGAAAACTTTTTTTCATATACATTTTTATCTAATTGTGTCAGCTTTGGTCTATAAAAATTATGAAATACGTGTATTAGATCTTCAGTATTATATTCAATGTGTAATTAATTTTTTCGAAAGTTAAAAATGCATCAATAACGTATGAAATTACAAAGAAACTAATCAAATGTTATATCAACAAAAATTTAATGTACTTTTTTAAATATTTATCCTAATTTTGGCATATTTTCTCAATTTTTTATTTACAAGAGTATTAACTGAAATATTACTTGATACGCAAAATTTCCTCGTACAATTTGTCTTTTTGTATACTCACTTCCTTTGCTGTTATCTTGTTCCATTATACGAACCATGTGTCTCTCGGTTTTTCTTCATTTCGTACTCGTGAGAAATGATGATTTGATAACACTGCGGGACGAGTGGATTCCATTATTTATTCTGTCATGTGTGTGTACAAAATAAAAATAAAACTGTATGGTTGCATTGTATCCTGGGATGGACTTTTATCTGTTATTTATAAATTTTTTCGTATAATATTTCGTTAAAAATAATGTTTTTTTATATAGTTTGGATTCATCAAATATTTTTTTTAAATGTTTGTATTTTTTACAATATTTGTTTATTTATGCGTTATTTGTTCACGCTTATGATTTTTAGTTTATTTTTTTTTATAATTATATAGTTAAG